GTTTGGGTCATCTTAGGACTGTGATGAGGAAACTTTGAATGAAGAAAAGTGTGGCCAACTCGTGGAATTTGCAACCACAGAAAGATATGGATATTCTAGAAAGAGATTGATTTTTATTTCACATATTAAAGGAATTAAGGTTTTGGAGAGAAAGCGTGTACGTGACTTTCTGGTAGAGAGTCACCCATGATCATATTGAATGGTGCTGCTGGTGCACAGCTGAATGGCCTTCTCCTTGTTCTGTGTGTCTATATTTTCTATTCATGACACAGCAGGCATGGAGGGCCAATTAGCCTGTATCTATTTCCAGACCCCATGTCTGAATGTGAAAGAGAAGCACTGAGATTTGAAAGGAAGAGAGAATCACGAAGTGGCGAGGGTGAGAGAGAAAATCACCCAGAAGTGATAGAGAGTGAGAAAATCAGTGAGAAGACAGTGAGGAAAAGTCGCTGAATTGAGAAAGGAAAAATCAACGAGCTGAGAGCAGTTTTCCGAGGAGAGGATAAGTGAGAAATTGCCAAGAGTATGTGAGGAAGTGAGTTGACCATCGAGGGGAGAGAGAGATAAAGCGATTCACCGATAGGAGAGGACGAGAAAGATAATTACTGAGAAGAGAAACAGATTACCGTCTGTAATTTGCTGTTTGTGACTGTTCTCAGTGAGAGATTCACCAAGAGCTGGAACAAAATGAAAGTCACTGAGTTGTTGGAGAAAATCATCAACATTTCCAAGCTTGCTGACAATCAGTTCTGAAGAAGGGTCACTGGACCTGAAATGTTAACTCAGCTTTCTCTCCACAGATGCTACCAGAACTGCTGAGTTTTTCCTCCAATTTCTGTTTCTCTTTTTTTGATTTCCAGCATATGCAGTTCTTTGTTTTTTCTTTGTTGTTTAATTAAAGTGAGGAGGTAGTTGCTGAAAGCAGTTGATCCCAGATATGGAGGTATTGTCTTAAAAGCAAAGACTAAAGAGTTTGGAACTTTATTTTCTGGAGTTTAGAAAAATGAAACACGTCGGATTCTTAAGGGACTTCACAGGGTAAATGCTGAGGGGATACTTCCCCTCATGGGAGGAATTTCTTCTCTTGGAGGCTTTCTGAGTCTTTGGATTTCCGTGCCACAGAGAAGTGTGGGGGCAGAATCCTTTGTGTTTATTTAAAGCTGAGATTGATAGATATATAGATGTATAGATTCTTGATCAGTAGTAGAATCAAAGGTTATTGAGGAAGAGCAGGAAAGTAGACGTGCGAAATGTCAGATCAACTATGATCCTATTGACTGGTGGAGCAGTCTTGAGGGGACAAATGGTTGACTGCTGCTTCAGTTTCTTATGTTCTTTGTAAGGACGGCAAATGGTATGTTGCAAAATGTTTTTGTGTTCAGAAGTAGAGATTTTTCCAGGGTTTTGTTGAGATCGCGCATGGAGTATTCTGTGCAATTTTGGTCTCCCTACTGATCAAAAGCATATATATGTTATGGAGGAAGTGCATCAAAGGTTCACTAGGCTGACACTGTGGATGGCAGGATTATTGTACGAAGAGAGATTGGTTTGACTGTGCCTGTATTCAGTAGAGCTGAGAGCAATGGGAGAGTGTTTGATTGAAAGGTATAAAATTCTAACAGGACTAGACAGAATCGGTGCAGTGAGAATGTATCCCCTGGTTGTGGAGTCTAGAACCAGGGTTCACGGTCAGAATACATACAAGGTGAGGCATCCAGGATTGAGATGAGGAAATATTTCTTCACTCAGAGGGTGATCAACCTGTGGAAGTTGTAACCACGGAAGGCTGCGGGTGCAAGCTCACTGAGTACCTTCAAGTACAAGACGGAAGGTTTTGTTTTTCAGCAATTAAAGCTTCAAGGGCTGTGGAGAGAGTGTGTGGATATGGTTTTGAAATAGGGGATCAGCCATGGTCACATGGAATGGTGGAGCAGGTGCAAAGGGCTGAATGCTCTGCTGCTTGTTTCTATGCTGTTCATTAATGGCAGAGCATGCTCGGAGGGCCAAAGGACTTCTTTTTATCAATCCTGCATTTCTACGTGAGAGAGAATCACTGAAGAGATGTGAAAGGAAGAGAAAATCACCAAGAGGAGAGTGTCAGACTGGAAATTACTGAGATGATAGCAAGAGAGCAAATCACCGAGAGTAGAGAGACATTCACCCCAGACAACAAGGAGAGAAAGGAAATAACCTAGAGGAGTCGTGTTTAAGAGAGAAAATCAGTGAGAGGAGTGAGAGAGAGTCAAATAATCAGTGAGATGATATGGAGGGAGAAAGCTGAGAAGGAGAAGGAAAATTCACCAAGAGGACTGGGTGAGAAAGAGAATTACTGAGAAGAGGACAAATAGAGGAAACAGAGAAGACTCGCTGAGTGTAGAGGGATTGACTGCCAAGCTAGAACGAGAAAATAACCAAAAGGAAAGAGAACATCATCCGAGAAGAGATGGAGACACAGAGACGGTTGGAAAATCACTGAGCAGGAAGAGACCGTGTGAGGAGCGCTCCCAGATTTGGTAGTGAGTGAGAAAGTCACAGCGTTGCAGAGATCGACTGAAAGGAAAAGTTGAGTGAGAAAATCACCCAGAAAGGAAGCTGACAGAAAAATCACCCAGAGTAGAAAGTGAGGAAGAGAATCAACTGAGAAGACAGAGAGATAACCACCAAGTAGCTTGAGAAAGAGAGGGGAAAATCACAAGTGGAGACATAAGATTACCAAGAGGAGAAGGGCTCTCGGAGAGGAGACGGGGAGAGAAAATGCCTTGAGAGTGTGAGAGAAAATTATCTAAAGGAGTAAGTTAGAGAGGAAATCAATGAGATGTTGGAGAGCAAAATTCACCTAGAGGTGAGGGTGAGAATGAAAATTACCAAGGGTAGTGGATACAGACAGAAAATTATGCAGCAGAAAGGAAATAGAGAGAGAAAATCACTACAAGGCGGAGTGTGAGAGGAAATCGCCACAGGAGGGCCAAGTCTGAACTGCCTTCTGGGCAATTAAGGAGGGGCAGTAAATGCTGACCCAACCAGCAAGGCCGCATCCATGATTTTTTTTTTAGAAAATCACCAGTAGGGGAGAGAGAGAGAGAGAAAATCAAGAGACGAGGGCAACCAAACCACTGAAAGGTGAGAGATGCACCAAGAAGTGAGGGTAAGAAAGAGAGTCAATCTCCAAAAGCATAGAAATAGGAAAAGGGAGAATCACTGCAAGGAAAGAGTAAAAGAAAATCACAGTGAAGGGAGAATGTGAGAGAATTACTTAACGAGCAGTAAGTTAGTAAACCACTGCAAGGAGAGGGTGATTGTGTGAGAAGGAGAGAGGGAAAATCGGGGTGGAGACAGCTCAATGTTCAGAGAGGATGGCAGAGAAAGAGATAAATCACTGAGAAGAGGGGGTGAGAAAATCACCAACAGGATGCAGAGAGGGAATCACTGAGAAGAATGAAAGAGAAAATCACCGGGGATGGAGTGAGAGAAAATGACAAAGAGGAACAAGATTTGTGAAGAAGAGATGGTGAGAGAAATTAAGAGAGAAAACCACCAAGAAGTGTAAGAGAGATCCTCTGTGAGGAGAGGGTAAAATAAAATCACTGAGAGGAAAGGCTGAGAATGAGTGAATTACGGGGAGGGAACAGAAGGTCACTGAAAGAGTGTGAGACAGAATCACAGAGAAGAGAGAGAAAATCATCAAGAGGAGGGACAAAAAAAGTTACTGAGCAGAGAGGGTGAGAAACTCACCAGGAGGAGAGAGGGTAAGAAAAAGAATCACCGAGAGGACAGGATGAAAGAAAATTACCAAGGAGAGAAAGAGAATCACTGAGATGAGGGTTGGAACTCTAAACTGATTTGTGTGCGTAATATTTCAGGTATCTGAACTGGTGGTTGGTGTTAGTATCAAAAATAGAAATTGTTGGAAAAGCTCAGCAGTTCTGGTAGTATCTGTGGAGAGAAATCAGAGTTAATGTTTTAGGTCAAGTGACCCTTTGCCAGAACAGCTTTCCTCCAGTTCTGAAGAAAGATCACTCGATCTGAAACATTTAATCTGATTTCTCTTCACAGATGCTGCCAGATCTGTTGAGCTTTTCTAGCCATTTCTGTTTTTGCTTCTGATTTACAGCATTCGTAGTTCTTCCGGTTGTTATTAGTATTTTTTTTATTTTTGATCTTGTAATAACCCACCTCTTACATTGTTTTCCTTTACATGTGATTAAAACAACACATTGAATGAAACCCCATGTAACACGAAACAATGTCAAATCTTTACACTGAGTGATAGCAAGAACTGCAGATGCTGGAGTCAGAGATTTCAAAGTGTGGAGCTGGAGGAACACAGCAGGCCAGGCAGCATCAGAGGAGCGGGAAAGTTGATGTTTCGGGTCGGGACCCTTCCTCAGAAATCTGTGATCCTCCAGCTCCATACTTCCAAATCTTTACACTGTTCTTCAATGTTTTTCATGTATAGGGAACTGTACATCATTTCAGAAGGATAACCATTTTTCACAGGAACTGTCTAACTGAAAAAAGTATTTATTGAGCTTATTTCTTTCTGTAAATATTTGGAAAATCTCAAGTTCTGTGTGGCCATGTTGAAATAACATTAAAAGAAAGCAAAAGCCTAGAAATTGATATTATTTCAAAGAAAACTTACTACCTGAATTGATAGTTATGAAGGTGAACTAAATATTGTATCAATCCTGCAACAGTTATTTTGGCCGCCCAAGTAAAATGTGCCCTCTCAAACACTGCAATGCTGAAATCTTTAATATTGCCCGTCTACCTGAGGTGAGTGAGTGTGCAGGTGATCTGTCCAATGCCAAATTCTGGACTGCATTTCAGTTCACTGAAAAATTACTTGTACAGGATCTCAAGAAATAACAATACAGGAAGATATTTTATGATTACTAATCAGTGAGGGTTCCTTATCTTTTGGTTTGAATGTACACAGTAATCATTCATTCAGTCATTTTAAATATTCAATGATCTAATAACAATATTTCTCATTTTAGGTCAAGGTTAAGAGTCCACCTTTTTGATCTTTCATACCTAGTCCCAGCAAAAACTTGACTATTTCATAGGTGAGTTTTCTGCATAAAAGATACAGAACAATGAATGCCAATGCTCAAAACTTCTCACTGGACTAGTTCACAATATGATAACATAACTCATATTACTTCACTTAAGCACCTAGAGAAAATTACTTTATGAAATGTATAAATTTTAAGAAGCGCTTTCCTCATTTGTCCAGTGCATCCACTGTCCCACTCCAAACATAAATAACCATCCATCTTTAAATATTTTCCATCTTTGATAGATATTAGAGTCTTTTTAAAATGTTCACAGTAATAGATTATATCCTGTGTTGCTGCGGAATTGCTTTTACCTTTGCAAGATTGAGCCTTTGACTTCTTTTAAGCATATTGATACCAGTGCAATTAATACCGCAGGTTATTGTAATATCGTGACAGTGATTTGATAAGTCTATATATCTTAATGAACATGGACTGTACCAATTACTTAATTTCCTTTTGATATGTACAGGTGTAAAACATTTTTAGGACAGAACAATTTGCCTCAGATCGATGGATATCTTCCAAGAAGATGCACAATGTCAGCTAAATGAAAAGCTAAATGAAACCAGGATCAAATTTTTGAGTTTGTGGGAAAACTATAGTCCAACAGGATTTAAACAGAAGTACAGAGAATCTTTAAAAATCACAGAAGGTACAAAATTGAGAATTCAAATTACTGTGTTCTATTCACATTAAGAATAGTATTTATGCATCTTATACTGTTTTATCCAATTTTAAAAGAATTTTTGGACTCTACTGTAAGAAAAACAGAGTTCCACATGCTACTGATCCTTTGCATAAAATAAATTTCTCATTTTCCCTCACTCTGTCTGATTGTGTTCCTTGGCTAATGTTGTAAACATTTTGATGTAACTTTACTCTAGGTGTGGTGTTGCGTTGGGGATAGTGGAATGGGTGGAGTTACGAGTTAATGGAGAAAAGCTTGTACTCAGAGCTGAAATTGACACCTTTGGCCCTTCCAGTGCATTGAAGTCACTAATGGTTCATCAAAGACTGAATGATGCTTGATAGCACTAGTATGATAGAGAAGTTATGGAGATATAGGAAACTTTCAAAGTGTGTACTTAGAACTTGACCTTATGTCTATGTATGGTACCGCCAAGTGAAAATATGTTTATAAGGAGGAGGATTGGACCAAATTTTGAGATAATAAAAGTAATGGTGTGCAGAAAATAAGTTGTGTAAAATGAAGCCTTGCTATGAGGATTTTATGTTTGGTGACTCTTGTCAGGATTATATTTCTATTTTCAATGAGCTTCTCTCACAAAAAGAATATTGTTAACTCTGGGTTTTATACTCTGTCATTTTATTAGTCATCATTAACCATATTTGCAATTGGTCATTGTACCCTAAGACATAGGGAGAAGAATTAGGCCAATTGGTCCATCAAGGCTGCTCTGCCATATGATGGCTGATACATTTTACAACCCATTCTCCTGCTTTCTCCCCGTAACCTTTAATCCCTTTTCCAATCCAGAACTTATCTATCTCTGGCTTACACTCAATAACTAGCCTCCACAGCTCTCTGGCAATGAGTTCCACAGATTAACCACCCTCTCGCTGAAGAAATTCCTCCTCATCTCCCTTCTAAAGGGTCATCCCTTCATTGAGGCTGTACCCTCGGGTCCAAGTCTCTCTTACTAGTGGAAACCGCTTCTCACTGTCCACTTTGTCCAGACCCTTCAGTGTTCTGTAAGTTTTAATGCAATCTCCCTCTTCCTTCTAAACTTTCCATTGAATACAGACACAGAGTCCTCAACCACTCCTTATATGACAAGCCCTTTATCCCTGGGATCATTCTAGTCAACCTACCTTGGACACCATCCAAACCTAGCACATCCTCAGATTTCCAAGGCCTTTCCCTGTTTAGAATATTCTTCCCACCAAAGTGCATAACCTTACAATTTCCCACATTGTATTCCATCTGCCACTTCTTTGCCCATTCTCCTCGCCTGTCTTTCTGCAGCCTCACTGCTTCCTCAACACTAACTATCCATCCACCTATCTTGAGTCATCTGTAAATTTAGTAAGAACGCCCTCTGTTCCATTGTTCAGATTGTAGCTTATAACACGAACAGTTGTAGTCCCAACACAGACCTATGGGGATTTGTCATCAGCTGTCATCCTGAAAAAGACCTCTTTATTCTGGCTGTCTGCTAGTCAGCCAGTCCTCTATCCGCGCACTAACCTTGCCCCTAACAACATGGGCTCATCTTATTTAGCAACCTCCTTTGCAACACTTTGTCAAAGGCCTTCTGGAAATCTAAATATATCATGTCTACTGGCTCCCCTTTGTCTTAACATGCTTGTTACCTTCTCAAAGAATTCTCATAGATTTGTCAGACATGACCTCCCCTTGATTGAAGCCATGGTGATTCAGCCCTATTTTACCACTCATTTCCAAATACTCCACAATCTCATGCCTAATAATGGACTCTAAAATATACCAACGAAAGTATTTTCTGAACAGGGACTCAGAAAAGTCATCAATATACTATACAACAATGCACTGTGCCTTTAGGAAAACCTTGTATACAGCATTACATTAGCAACAGGAAATAATGGTAAGTTAAGCGCTACAATGGCCCTTAAATTGAAGTTGTGTATATTTTTGTGTATTTTTTTTTTGGTTTTAGAGCCTCTGTTGCTGAATATAGGTTTTAGCAATTAGTGTATCTAGGGTCAAATTCTATTACTAGTGCAAAGGTTAATTTCTGGAGTTCTGTCAAAAACTTGGGCCTTGATTTGGGATCTTTAAACGATATTGTTTGAGTGTGTGATCCTGCCTTATTTTAGTGCAGTATTAAGTTTACTGTTTTCAGATGGCTAATTTCTGAGTGAATTTTATGTCATCCATAGAGAAATATCACAATTGTTCCTTATTTTACAGATAGATGTTTAGAGATATATGAAGAGGAAAAACAGATGTGTGAAAAGATCCAATTAACCAAAAAGGGTATTCCATATCATACAAATTCACTGCAGTTCTATATTTCAGCTGAAACAACTCATCACTAACGGGCAATGTCATTTTTCTTGCAGTTATTGCTGAGCAGAATGCATTCCTGGAAAAAACCCAATTAGAGCTGCAGAGCATCAACCAAAATTGTGAAAGTATTGAAAGGCAAAAGCAGGATGTATTAGAAAAGATTAAGAAGCTGAAAGAAGGACTTCTCAAAAAGCAGGAATGTATGTATAATGTAATTTGGATGGTAGGTGGAGAAGAAGAAAGAGTAACCTGATATATACCTAGAACATAAGACATAAGAGCAGGAGTAGACCTTATGGCACCTCAAACCTGTTCCCCATACTTTGATTACTTGAGTAACCAAGTCTATTTTTACCTTAATCTGTCCAATGATAGAGCATCCACAATTCACTAGGGTAGAGAGTTACAAAGGTTCGCAATGTTTTGAATGAAGAAATTCCCCATTTCAATCCTAAATTCATTGTCCTGAGACTGCTTATATGTTCATGATTCCTCAGTCAGAAGAATCGACCACTCTACCCTGTCTTCCATTCAGAATCTTTTATGTTTCACTTAGATCACATTGTTTTCTTTCAAACTCCAGAGAGTTCTTTTATTTCATAGGATGTAGTCATCGCTATTAAGGCCAATATGCGTTGCCTATTTGAGTGCACATGAACTGAGTGGTGCACTAGGGTATTTCAGGGGCAGTTAAGAGACAACCACTTTGCTGTGGACTTGGGGTCAGACCATGTAGGAATGGTAAATTTCCTTCTTTGAAAAACAGATGGGATTTTACAATAGTCTCATGATTTCTAATTCTAGTACTAACTTTATGTTCAAGATTTATTGATTTGAATTCAAATTCCAGCAGCTACCACAATGAGCTTTGAACCCATGTTAACGAATCTAGGCCTAAAGATTACTAATCCAATGCCATTATTCCACTATTTCTCTCTCTCTCTGTCTCCCCGTTTCTCTCTGTCTTCACCTCCCCCTAACCCCATCTAAGTGGGCGTAGGTTACTCAGCCTCATGTCAACTGGCAACCTTTCCAAAACAAAAAACAATCTCGTGAGATAGTAGGAACTGCCGATGCTGGAGTCTGAGATAACAAGGTGTAGAGCTGAATGAACACAGCAGGCCAGGCAGCATCAGAGGAGCAGGAAAGCTGACGTTTTGGGTCTGGACCCTTCTTCAGAAA